TTATAGATAATGTCATCTTTTACCATTATAGCGCAAGTTATAACGGGGTATTCGAAGATCAATTAACCTCAACTTTGTCTACTAAATAAGCATTACGTTTTGACCTAAATGATGAAGATTATATTAGGATTATTTTAATATTTAATTTTAATTTTAAGATTATGTTTATCTATTTTATTATTTTAAATTTATTTATGTTTTTCTCCTTTAAGAATATGATTAGGATTCATCATCCATAAATAGCAGGGTTGTTTGGTTAGGGGATTCGTACCCCGATTCGAAACATGGTTCATAGTTCGCTACAGTATTTTCTCTCATAAAAAATACACGTAAATCGAAAATGATTCTAATCCATGAACCAAACGTCTTTGTTATTTTTTTTTCAGAGTTTGATGATTAGTGAGTATTGAGTTTTTAGTTTCCTCTCGGAGTTTTTGTTCTCCCTCCATTTCTATCTCTCTCGTGGTTCTTCTTCTCTTCATGATTCACTCTTTTCTATCTAAATTCTATATCTTCATCAATTCTACCTGGTCCTACTTCACTAAATATAGCTACTGATAATTTTTTGATGCCGTGAGAGGTCTTTTAGCCATCAAGGAAATATTTAACGATTAAACCACACTTTCCCATTATGTTTGATTAATAAAGGGTTGTCTTCATATTACTAAGAAAAAAAAGGTTGTCTTCGTGACTAGAGTCTAAATTTGCTGTCTCTATTTTCCTGTCTCGATAGCTGTCTCTCCACTTAAAATTTATCACGTCATCTAAATTTATAAATCTAATCACATATATAGGAACAAAGCACTAGAAATTATTAAGCAAATTGCGAAGTGTTAAAATTCAATTGGAGGAACGAGACATAAAAATGAGACAATAGATCTTAATTCTCGTGACTAATGTTTCTAAATATTACAGAGGTAGATATTTCACAATATATAAAAAAAAATATATTAACATCACTCTTTCTACTCTCTCAGAACTAAACATAAAAAATAATATATAGTGGAGTGTCACGTAGAAAATAGATGTTAAACCGACTTTGTCATAGTGGAATAAAAATGATGGATTGATCAATTTTTTTGTGATAATATCTATTGACCTTTCAATCAATCGGAAAATTGTTCGAATTGGGTAGAATCCAAATTTCAGTAAATTTTTATAGGCTTTGTTGCCTTAACAGGGCATTTTATACACCGGGAAAAGGAAGAAAGAGTATGTTGAAGAAATACTTAACGTGAATTTTGTGGGACATCATCCCGCAAATTGTCACCTTCCGTATCTATAGGCTCAAAATAATTCCGCACAAATTCAATTTAGATAACAAATAAATAAGAATCTTTTAATCTATATATATATAGGCCATATTTAGAATTAATCTTATTTTTATTTTTCACTTTTTTGAGAAATAAAAAATGAAAACGTTTTTAAAACGGTGTTTGGCATAATAAAGACAAAAAATCAAAGTAAAAATAATTTTTTAATTTAGTGTAAAATGAGAGAGAAATGAAAAACGACTTTTAGTCGTTTTTCATTTTTTATTTTCGTTTTCTCCCCTCTAGAGCAGAGAGAGACATTAATGAGTTTTTTTATACTGAAAATAATCTCTTGATAAAACTAATCTGAGATTGAAAATGTTTTCATTTTCATTTTCATACAAAAGACAAAATCATTTTAGAACGAGTTCCAAACGCGCTCATAATTTTGACCCAAAAACTCCATCCAGTTATAATATTTTAATTTGTGTCTAATCAATAATATTATATCATGTTGTGTAAAAAACTTAAAATTATCTTTTAAATAATTCTTTTGTGCTTATTATATAATGATGTGATATGATTTAATTAATTAGACAATATTAAGACATTAAAAATTAGAGATTTAGATCCATATATTTTCATCAATTCAAACCAATTATGTTCGATAATTATCTTTTTCCATAACAATTTTTCAACATGATTGCAGGCTCAACGGTACTTTCGAGATCAAATGCTTGAAGTTGTCCAAACCTGTCACCAAATAATTCATTACACCAAAGTTTTTCTAGATATTATGCCTACACCAAAGTTTGTAGTTGAGGAAGATTTTGAAATTAAATTCCGTAACAGTTTCTCTAAAATCCACGAAAACTGTTATATGTGACAATAAATTAAATTCTGAACAGTTTTTGTAGATATTAAAAGAATTATTAAGTTTTGGAAACAATTTATTTTTGTAGAGAGAGATACATACAAATCTATTACTTGACGACTTTTAGGATTGAATTCTTCCACTTAGGGGCATTAATCAAATAAAAAATTTAAACTAAACTAAAATACAATAGCATTTTTATCTTTATGTACATCAATTTGTGTCTTTAATTTTTTCTCTAAATAAATTACGCATGTAATGGAGTTTAATACTAATTTTTAACTTTTAGAGTTCAAAATTTTTGAACTTTTTTGATTTATTGGTGATTTTAATTCTGAAATAAAAGTATTTAAAAATATAAAATGATAAAAAAAATTACAAAAAGAGTGATGTTAATTTTTTTCATCCGGGAGAAATCTATGGTCACCAAATGTATGGATTTTCACTATCATCATGATTTGAAGAATTATGAATTGGTTATTGAGTGTATCATACAAGTCACTCTCATCCATATATCTTGGAAGTCACGTGTTGTACGTCCAAACTGAGTAATAATTATTATGGTCTCGTTCATTTTATCGATTTTAGTTTTGTTATAGTAAAAAGCAATCAGAAACAGTCACATTTAACTTTTTTGTTACAGTAAAAAATTTTCACATAAAATCATATCTCAACTCGAATTAAAAATTTACATCAGTAAACTAAACGGATAATTAGATAAGTTTCCCGATAATAATATTTTTTTAATTAAAAAAGGTTTCCTCAATATTGAAGGCAAGAATAAGAAAAAAAAAATTACGAAACATCTAAGACCAAGAAAAAAATTATGAAGAAAATTTGTGCTAAATATTTTGCAACTGGAATTGAAATTTATAAACATCACATATAAAAAAATATTTACGTAGGGACACATTTAAAAATAAAATAAATTAATAAGATAATTAAAAAATAATATTTTAACTAACTGTAAAAAATATTTAAATTAAATATATTTACAAATATATAAAATCAAAGCTCAAAAGATGCAATAAAAAATGATAGAGAAGGAAAAAGAAGAAAAAAAAAACTAAAACAAAAGCTTAAAAGAAGGCTAAGAAAGTAAGTAAGATATAAAATAGACCCTACATAGTTCTTTCAACGTTTGAAATTACCTTATATCTTGTACGGAGTGAGCTACAGACGAATCCAAGTATAATCACTCTTTAATATAATTTCATTACATTGATCAGTCACATTTTCCCTTTCTTTGTCTTAAGAGCAATAATTTTTGTAGCAAAATTTGCATAGGGAATCTATAAATTCATAACCCAAAAAAAAAAAAACATGACCCATTTTATATGATTTTAGAGAAAATGGCCGGATTTACATTTAAAAGTATATGAGTCTGAATTTTATCTTTTATTTTTTATTACCATTTTAATAATGTAATTATTTGACTAAAGATTATTAATTAAGAATAAGCAATAGAAATCTTGACTCTTACTATTTTAAAGGATATTTTTCTCCTTTAAAATGCAATTAATCTTAATAGCGAGCCACCAGACTAATTTACACAATTAGATTCATATTATACAATTACCATTAACGGCAAACGTAAAATTAGGCTCATTATGCTATATTGGCAAAATTTATTCTAAACTTGCCCAAATTAGTATTATTGCGTTAAAAAGTCAATATTAGAAAGGGATAAAATTATTTTGATACTGTTCTAGCAAAATAATTACTGATATTTTAATAGTATTAGAACAATAACTTCAAATTTAAAGAAATGTTCATTTAGTACTCTTAGACCCGATTTGTAAGATATAAAATGTCTAAACTATCTTTTTCTCTAATTAATAATAAACTAGCAATTTTTTTTTACTGAAAATACTTTCAAACATTTAAAAATTAAACAATCAAAATAAATAAAGTTTTTAGAAAAAATATTTTTATTAGTTTCTGTTTAATTAACAAAAAAAGACTATTTAGAAATTGTATGTCCCAAAATTAAACTCAGGGTACTAAAAAAATATTTTTTTAATATGAAGGTATTGTTTTAAATTATCAAAAATACATATTATCAGTAAGATGTTTCACTATAACAGAGAGTATCGACATGATTTCATCCAAAACCAAAAACTCATAATTTAAGCTTTTTGTATGAAAAGGGAAAACATTAACATAAAAAAGATTATTCTCATTTATGCTTCTTGAACTTTGTGAGTCATTTTCAATTTGATCTGCTTGAACTTTCATTTTATCTTTCAAGTTTTAAATTAATTACACTTAACTTTTTTTGTTAGGCGTCTTAAACTTTAAAATTCTTACTTTACTCCTTAAAATTTTAATTTATCTTATTTAAACTCTTTTGTTAGAACTTGTATTAAAAATAGACTAAAAAACAAAAATAATTTAGTCATGTTGTCTTTCTTTTAGAGTTTCTATTAAAAACAATTGTAAAAGATCACATAACCACAATTAATATTATTTTTTTGTCTAATCATAATATAAATTAATTTTAATTCAAAAAATATGGGGCAAAATGAGAAGTTTTAAAACTGAGAGACAAACTAACAATAATCGTAAAATCTAAGAGCTAATCCTGAAAATAATTAACAATAAGAAGATAATTGCACGCGTTTGACAGCGCGTAAGAAAAGATCGGCACATTTTATTTTAATTTAATTTATTCCAATTCGGCAAAATTCTTGAAAGAAGCAAAAAAAGAAAAGAAAAATTCGGCAAACGGAGAAAAAAGAGTCCTTAAAAGGAGAAATCAGTGGCGGAGACAAAATACAAAATGAGGTCGGAATGAAATTGAAATGCGAGCCAAATGCAAATTCTGCCCAATTGCAAAAAGAAAAAAAAAAAAAAGGAAAAAGAAACTTTTTATTAATAAATTTCACGCGTTGGTGTGGCAATCAAGAAATCCGTGGAAACCTCGCAGCATTATAGTAGTAATTAGTAGTAGCAGCATTGTCTTTTTCATTTCAACGATCTGAGATTGAAAAGAATGTTAAAAAAATCTTTAAAAAATGTTAGATTTTAATTGAAAACTTAAATTCGTGAAGCGAACAACGACGCAGTAATCTTCGTCTTTTTCGCCTTCGTTTATAGGGGAAAAACTTGATTGGAGAGAGAAAGGAAAGAGAGAGAAAAAGACGCCATTTTTTTTTCTTCGTGATCCTTCGTCATTTCCGCCGAGAAAGAAAAGAAAAGAAAAGAAAAATTAGGCTCAAAAAGAGAGAGAGAGAGAGAGAGAGAGAAAAAAGCGTCTTAGATTTAGTTGAAGAAGTTCTTCACTTCCGCCACCAATTATGGCATCATCAGACAATCATCAGTCAGCTCTTCTCTCCTGCTAAGGTACGCCTCCTCTGGTTCTCCCTTCGCTAACTCGCGCATTCCTCGCCATTGCCCTTTTTTCCTTTTCCTTGTTTAAAGCTCTGACAAGTTTGTATCTGAAATGCTGAAACTTTTCTTTTAAATTCAAGGTTTTTTTTTTTTGGCAACAATTCGTCTTTTTGACGGTTTTTATTTTCTTCATCTTCTTTTGTTTCGTTGCAGATTTTTAGAATTTGAGTTATTTCAGCGTTGAATTTCCTTCGACTGTTAAGCATTTTCGTAGAAATAGTTAGATTCACTGTAGCTATCAGGCGGTGCTGAAATAAAACAAAAAACAAAAGAAAAGAAATGGGTGAGAGTGAAGCTCACCACCACCGGCTTCACTCGTCGTTCGGAACGTCGTCGTCTTCGGTTCTGAAACAGCCTTTAGCGATGGACCAACTCAACATCCCTCAATTGAACCCTTCCCAGTTCCGCCCCCGCCATTTGCCTCCCTCACACCCCCACCAGATCCCACCCATTTCGCCTTATTCCCAGATCCCGGTATCCCGTCCGGCCAACCCTCACATGGGCTCGCAGAGTTTCAGCCTAGGCCCATCCCAGGCCCACCACCATTCCCGATCCTTGTCCCAGCCGTCTTTCTTCTCCCTTGATTCCTTGCCGCCGTTGAGCCCTTCCCCGTTTCGCGGGGACTCGCCGTCGTCCACAACGTCGGTTTCAGACCAAATAACGACGGATATTTCGATGGAAGATAGAGATATGAATTCTCATTCTATGTTGCCTCCGTCGCCTTTTAGTAAAGGTGGTGGTTCCTTGCCTCCTAGGAAGGCTCATAGGAGGTCTAATAGTGATGTCCCATTTGGGTTCGCTTCGTTTAATCCATTTGCGGGTTTGAAGCCGGGTTCGGGTAATGCCCAGTTGGTGAAGAAGGAATCTTGTTGTGAAGAAGGGATGGGGGAGAGGAAATCTGAAGGGGAAGTTGTCGATGATCTGTTCTCAGCTTATATGAATTTGGATGGTATTGAGGCTTTGAATTCTTCGGGGACTGATGAGAAGAATGGGAATGGGAATGAGAATCGCGAGGATTTGGATAGTAGGGCAAGTGGGACGAAGACGAATGGCGCTGATAGTAGTGACAATGAAGCAGAAAGCAGCATGAATTCTTTGAGTGAGAAGAAGGAAGGGATGAAAAGGAGTGCGGGAACGGATATTGCTCCGACAACAAGGCATTATAGAAGTGTTTCCATGGATAGTTTCATGGGAAAGTTGAACTTTGGTGATGAGTCGCCGAAAGTGCCTCTTTCACCTGGTAATCGACCCGGTCAACATTCGCCTAGTAATTCGATTGATGGTAATTTCAGCTTGGAGTTTGGAAATGGAGAGTTTAGTGGGGCTGAATTGAAGAAAATTATGGCCAACGATAAGCTTGCTGAGATTGCATTGACCGATCCAAAGCGTGCAAAAAGGTATTTCATTTTAGTTTTTTGAAGATGCACTGTTGTGGTCAATATTTTCAATTTGTCAATGTGTGTTATATAGCACCAAAAAATATTGGTTCAACTCAACAAGGTCTTAATCTTGCTGGGATTTTTCTGGATTTTAGGATTTTGGCTAACCGCCAATCTGCTGCGCGGTCTAAAGAACGGAAGATGCGGTATATTTCTGAGTTGGAGCACAAGGTTCAGACTCTACAAACGGAAGCTACCACATTATCTGCACAACTTACATTACTGCAGGTAGAGAGTTGACTTGATCAGATATTGATTTGGTACCTACTACTACATTATTTGCTATGTTATTTATGATTAAATTTGTTGGTGACATTTATTATATTCTCCCAGAGAGATTCTGTTGGTCTTACTAACCAGAATAATGAGTTGAAGTTTCGTCTTCAAGCTATGGAGCAACAGGCCCAACTCCGAGATGGTATGTAGGTTCTTTTTTTTTTGGTAAAGTTTTTAAATCTATGAGATTTGTTGTATTTGAAGCGTTTATAGATATATTCATACGTTCTGTTAGATAAATCGGCGATCCTATTTTGCTATATTTGCAAGTGTGGAGTGATAAATTTCAAAAATCTCTGTTAATTCCAACATCTACCTCTCTTGCTACCAATCGAAAACGTTTTGTTTCTAAAAAATATGTAAGAAGATAGTTGCCTTTTGAAGTTTCATTCATCATTTCATATTAAAGTACTTGTTGAATCAAAAAGCTCTAAGCAATTATTCGTCCATGGATACTGAAGTTTGAAATAGGAATTTACTCCCTTTCTGCATGCCATCTGAGCCAACTTCCAGGGGCTTTTCACAGTTTAAAATCTAGGTTATGATTCTCTTTCTCTTCCTCACTGTCTCTATACATTCATGCCCACACACGTATTCCTTAAAATTGACACCTGAGAGGCATTCTTTTTTATTTTAAACCTGTTAGACCTGCTCGATGTGAAAGACGTCAAGCGTTCTTTTTTATTTTGCTTATACTTGATGTGAAGTCAGTGGTACTGGAGTTGTTGTGTGCATTCCTTGTTTGTCACTACCTATAAACTATGGTCATGTTTCCAAATTCAAAAGTGTACCCCTTTTGAAAATTAGAAGTGCCCTTTCTGCCTGCTATTTCGTTTCTTTATTATCTTTTACGCTACTCTTCATAAACTAAACTGTAGTATTTCAGTAATTTTTGCTAGTAATTGATGCATATGAAAGTGCTTACTCTAGTTCCGTATTTGTGGTGGAATATGACAGCTCTGAATGAAGCGTTAACTGCAGAGGTCCAACGGTTGAAGATTGCAACAGCTGAGCTAAGTGGAGACTCTCTCTCATCCAAGTGTATGGTTCCGCAGCTTTCTATGAACCCTCAGATGTTCTCAATGCAGCAGCAGCAGCAGGCTCCTCCTACCCAATTCAACATGCCTCACCAGCAACCGCAGCAGCAACAGCAAGCTTTGCCACTATCGCAGAATGGCAGCGCAACTTCAAAACCGGAGTCGAATCATTAAGCTCAAAGGATGGGGTTGCCATTATTAAATGGCAATTCCTCTTCATTGCTGGCATTTACCAATTAGTATTATCACTTCAGTGCATTCATTCATTCGTTCTTTTGTCTTCAAGACTCCGACAGAACTCAAGTTGTGGTATCATAAACACGTCTTGCATTAGATGTCCACCTCGGGCTATTGCATGAATTCGTATACAAGTTCATATTTATTATAATGTGTATTGTTCTTTTGTTTGTTTCTGGTAGACATGTTGGGAAGTACAAGCATTCTTTAGGCTTGATTTGTTCTGTTGTGATACTAGAAGAGTGAAACTCTTCTTTGTTTTCGGTAAAGGATGTCTATTCTCTTTGTATTAGGTTCTGATGTCACTTTTATTCCCCAATTCTCAATTAAAGTTGTTTTCTGTATCTTGGTTGTCGTTTATCTCAGACGAGGGTTTGTTGTCTTTTTATAATCTAAATGAGATGATTAACGCTAATGACTTGGTGGGTTTAGGATCTTCTTGCTGTCATAAGACAATTTATGGAAGTTGGGCTAATCGAGAGATTTGAGTTCATAATTCCTTATGCCGAAAAGAATGACTAGTTCTGTTTTTTTTTTGTTTGGCTGAAAAGAATTGGCTAGTTGTATACTTGTCATTTTTACAATGAATATATTTCATCATAAACTTGTTCGCCCAATCATATGGAGGACGAGAGAAGCTTTGGAGAAAAAAGAAAGGGAAGAAAATGTGGCATTGATAGTAAGGGTGGCAATTTGTATTAGTGAGTCGTGTTCGTGTCAATTCGTTTATTAATCGTGTTAAAAAAATATCAATCTAAACACGACATGTTTATTAAACGTGTCAAAAATATCAACTTAAACACGATCCATTTATTAATCAGGTCAACCCGTACAAGCCGTTTAAATTAATATATTGAATAAATAAATAATATAATAATAATTTATTTAATATGGTCAAGACAGATTTAACATGTTTATTGGTCAATTTATCTTTTCTTTTAAAAAAAATAAATGAATTTTACATATAAATATTAAAATTCACATTATTTGTATTTAATATGTCATATAAACTTTCATGTTATATCACATATCATTAGATTACAGATGACACATATAATTAATCATGTCAATTCGTGTTAGGAAGTCAACTCTAATCTAATTCATTTATTAATCGTGTCAACCCGATTATGACATAAATCCATTTATAGTGAACATAAACTCACTAACTTTGTGCGGGTTTCGAATAGTGTCGCTACTCATTTTACTAGCCTTAATTGATAATACTTGTGCTGAACTTTTCATGGGCACTTTTGTTTCTTTTTTTTTTTTCCTTTTAATTTATTTTTTGAGTACTTTTCACTCAATCTAGAGCATAATTATAAGTTTTTTGCACTTGTGTTCTCTGAATTTCTTATAATTCGGTTATATAATTTGTAAAATTTATGTTCTTTGCAGTTTTAATCTCAAAATTCTCTTAAATGTAATCATTATTAATGATTGGGGTTAATTGCGAAGATTTAGGAGTTCAATTTTAAAAATTAAAAAAAGAAAGAAAGTAAAATGTGCACATGTCAAAAATATAAAATGTCCATTAGAAAAAAGTTACAAAAATGCTCAAAAAAAAAAATGACAAGGCTAAGGGCAGATTGGTTAAGTAATTTAAATTTATAATTCTGATTCTGTTCTTTTAAAAAAATAAAAAATAAAAAATAAATAAATAAAGTTAGTTAAAAAATTCTCTCATAAAATTTGAATTCATAATTAAAATTATTGATTTAAACTTATGATCGAGACGGGCCTAAATTCATACAAACTTTTTTTTTTTTTCCTTTTTAGCTGAATCTTCACCTCTTCACTTTGTAATTACTTTATGAGGTAAAAGAAATTCTACGCTTCTATTCTATGTTGGGAAATCATATTCTCATACTCAACTTCTTCTTTAATAAAGTGTTTGAGGTGAAGAAGTCAAAATGGGCCTTCAGAGCTTCTTCCAAAGCCGGCAGAAAATCCTCAAACTTTTTTTTTTGTCTTGAAAAGACAAATGGAGAGTTTTTCTCCTAGGAACTCTTTGTAGGTAGGGACAGTTTGAATCTAATTAAAATTATATCAATAAAAAAATATGTTAAATAAATAGTTTTTGATGCAGATTTAATAGTTAAAATAATTTTTTTTTATAGTTCATATTACATTGCAACCCTAATGGATAGACATTAGACATCAAATAATTTTAATAATTTGAAAGGAATTTGGTCTGGGTCAAGATTATTTTCATGTGCTTAAAGAAAGTAGAGGGATCCAACTTCAAAATATTTGCACATGCTATTTTTTTAAATATCTGTTTTTTTTTTTTTTTTCCTGAAGAAATACTAGCACATGTTAGACGCCTAGACCAATGACAATCCATTTGGTGAATTCTTGTTTTTGGACGTAAAATACGTTCAAAAATATTCAAACTCACTATTTAATACTGTAAAGATATTTACAAACCTGATTTACAAAAATATTCAAACACACTATTTAATCGCAACTTGACACGTACATCTATTATAATATGTGCAAAACATGACTCTTTTTGAACACATATGTAAATCTCTCCGATTTTGTTAAATTAAAATGCATCTCTTTTTTTAATAAAAAATTAGCTTTGTCTTTTCCACAATATATATATATATATATTTGATTTACTATAAGTAATTAATAATTTACCGTCATCGATCAACGGTTTACCATGAATCCATCAATCATTTATCAAAATCAATTAAGAAACGGATGCTTTTCCTTTGTTACTGATTTAATTAAACTACAAATATTTACTTAAAACAAACTTTGCAAATTTTCATAGAACGGCACTGGAAGTGGTTAAGAGCTCGGGTCGTCTACTTGGAGAATTGGCCTCGTTCATTTTACACATTCGAGTTTTTAATTCGAATTAAGATGTGATATTTTTTTAGAGTTTTTCACTGTAGTAAAAAAAGTTAGATGTGACATTTTCTGAGAGCTTTTTACTGTAAAAACTTAAAACTAAAAACTCGAATCGGTGAAATGAACGAAGCTTTCTCTTACTGGCAGAATGACAAAGTAACAGCACAACCTGACCTGCAACCTCATGCAATAAATTTTGGTCTCCGCCTACTCACACGGTAGTGAAGAGAAATGTTGACGCGACTATTAAGGATGGGGTATATATGGCGCGTTTAGAACTCGTTTTAAAATAATTTTATTTTTTTATATGAAAATAAAAATGAAAACGTTTTCAATCTCATACAAAAAATATTTTTAAAAATACTTTTTGTAGTTTTATTAAGAGATTATTTTTAATATAAAAAAATCATTAATGTCTCTCTCTCTACTCGAGAGAGAAGAAAATGAAAACAAAAAATGAAAAACGATTAAAAGTCATTTTTTATTTCTCTTTCATTTTACACTAAACTAAAAAATCGTTTTCATTTTTATTTTTTTGTCTTTATTGCGCCAAGCGCCGTTTTAAAAACGTTTTCATTTTTTCTTTCTCAAAAAACGTAAAAAAATAAAAACGGGATCAATTCTAAACACAGTCATAATGTTAGCGTTGACATTGTCATACGGAACGAGTCAAGATTGGTCTTAAATAGCTACTGCTATAAAGATTGCGGGGTCTTTTTTCACCACATTTGGGTGAAGGCTTTATAGTTAGCGAGGATATCTTGTTAGCTCAAAGACGAGGGTTTTATTGTTAGATTGTTGAGTCAGATGCGTTAAATGTGGTTCAAGCCATTTAAAATTTAGTTTTAAAATTATTGGATTCAAGTATATAGGTGATATATAACATAGTATTTTTTTTAACATATTGTGGTCCTATTAACTACATTTCTCATCATGGAAACTATGTAGTTTAATGTTAGCTGCTTATAGTTTCACCAGCCTTTATTTATGATATGCTTTGGCTGGATTCTTGTCCAAGGTTTATCAATGCTGCTATTAATGCTTATTTAGCATCTATTAATCATCAATAAAGCAAGTCTTTTCCTAAAAAAGAAAAAAAGAAAAGAGTAACCCTCCACAATTTCTTAAGTTAGAATTTACGGTAATTAAATTCGAAAAGGCACAAAGGTATAGAATAGAATATAGATATTAGTGGAGAGGAAACAAGCAAAGTAATATAAAAAGAAATAAAGCAACCTACAAGATAATATCAGTAGGTAGAATTTGGTTCATATAACCTTTTTTTTATTCGCTCCTGAAGCTTTCGTCAAAACTTGAATATGAGTATTTTTGGTTATAAATTTATATTTGGAAAAATTTAACCAGTCGTCAGGGTGGCCGAGTGGTCTAAGGCGCCAGACTCAAGTTCTGGTCCTCAAACGAGGGCGTGGGTTCAAATCCCACTTCTGACAGTTTTTATCAGTTTTGCTTGTTTCTTTTCTCTCGTAAGGTTCTTGAAAACGGCAATCCTTTTCTCGTCGTACGTACTCAATCTTCATCCTCAAAACCCTACTCTAAAATCTCTTCGACTCTCCCTCATTGCATCAAGTATCAACACTCTTATCGGATTTTGTTTTTTTCGCACCTACCAAGTTTCGAGTGAACTCGCCGACGCCATGAGCGACTCGGAAGTCCAACTCGGCGAGGGCCAGAATGATTCGGCTGCGGCAGCGGCAGCGGCCTCGAACTTGCCTGTCGAGAAGACGCCGGAGGAGCTGGTGGCGAAGGCCGTCGCTCCGGTGAAACGAGAGTTCCTCCGTCCTCCGCCACTCAGGCCTTCTTCGAACAACCGCGGCGGCGCCGTTTCGGAGGAGAAAGCTGAGCCTCCTCAGTCTGCCATCGTTAAGGAGAAGAAGTCCAAGCGTCAACTCAAACGCGAACGCCGCGAGGTACTGTTTCTTAATGTCCCTCTCTCTCTCTCTCTCTCGACATTCTTATATACTTGTCAATTTATCTGTGTATATACAAGTTCATGTGTAATTGGATTTTTGTCTAATAAGTTTGAAACTTTGGCCGAACTTCAGAACTTTTTCATTTTGTTTGTTCAATATATTAATTTATAAATTTTGTTGAATGGTGCAAAAACGTGGTAGAGTAGAATTTTTGGGACTTTTACTTGTGAGGATACAATTGAAACCAGTGCAGCTATAATACTGCGTTCATATGCATATTTTTTTTTTTTATTGCGGATTGATAAAACGTTGTAAGTTTAGATTTGAATTTCATAATTTGGATTAGAGAAAATAAAGGAAGAACTTTTCGCATATGATTTTATGAGCTGAAACCAAGGTTTTAACACTGCAGCAAAAGAAATCGACTTCGCATATCTGCCCTGTGGTTGCGAAGACAGGAGATGTTAGTTCTTGTCCTTATAATGATAAGTGCCGCTTCAGCCACGACATCGAAGCTTACAAGGATCAGGTAGTGTACTGGTTTTCGGGTTTATTGTACGTTGCTTAGACTTGTTTTCTCATATAGATGTTATGTTCTTCAGGAATTCAGACAGTTAGATGTTTCTAAATGCAGAGACCAGATGATTTAGAGGGAGAATGCCCGTTTGTAAGCGCTGAAGAGCCGTGCCCTTATGGTTTGACATGCAGATTTTTGGGTACACATCGCGAAGATGTTTCTGTAGAATGTATTAATGCTTGCAGGAATAGATCCGAGATGAATGTATTCAGCAAAGACGTTCAAAAGCTGTTGTGGAAGAACAAAATGAGCTTCCCAAAGGCTGATGCCAAACTTAAAGATCTTGGACTCCTGGTATCAACAGATATTACAACTTATGTCCCATTATCTTGCTCTTTCTGTGTGTGCTTATTTTCTCTACGTAGTTTTGTGATCATTGATGCTGTGATTTTTATGAGGGAATTTACCTGATTATATATATATTTTTTTTCCTGGTGCTGTATAGTTCCTATGTTACCTTCTTTTTTATTTTTTATTTTTATTTTATGTATGGAGACAGATATCTATAGTTTGGCAGAAACGTTATTGGGGTCCTGACGTAGGAGGGTCATTAATTGAATCATCATTGGGTCCTAGATTTGCATCCGCTTTGAGAGTCTTGAGATATACAACTTACTGTATCAACACTATCAAATAAGACGGACCTTTTCTTCACGAAAAAAAAAGGGACCTTTTGTTGAATGATAAAATGATTAAGAATTCAACTGATGTGTTTTCTGTGTGGCATTTTATCCAATTGATGAAATGTCATACTATTATTTCATCTCTTCTTTCAGGAATGAAAATGTGTTATGGAAGCAATAGCTAGGCAACAAAGTTTATCAATGAATTTTTTAGTTGTTTAAAAATTTGATTTTTTTAATTGTCCAATACATGTATGATTATTTTATAATCTTCGTCTCAATTCTGTAGCATTGTCTCGGTTCCAACTTTATGCAATCCACAAATGCTACTTGGATTAGTTTATTTCTAAATCACCTTTATTCTGTTGCAGAAGCATGCCAATTCTAAAGCAAAAATTTCGGTAGATAAAGAGGATGATCAAATTGCTTTAAGAAAATGTCAAGTTACCAATGGAAATGGCCCTATTGACTTGACGGACAAGGATAGTGAAATGGAAATATCTGCTAGAATAACAGAAAATGATGCTGCTGATGAAACACCTGAATCCAATGAACTACCGCCTTTGAAGAAACCAAAATGTGTAGTTTCAGAGTGTTGTTCCAGTGAAGCAGAAGATGCAGGTCTAAACCTTAATCTTCAGTTTTTCTTGTCATCTCTTTTTTTCCTTGATCATTGGATGTACCAAGTGTTCCAGTGATGTATTCTGACCGTACTGCAACAGATGTATTTGTCGTGGAGAAGGTTGTCAGTGAAAACTGCAACCAACCTGAAGCAGAAGCTACTGCTGATATGGTAACCCCTGAAGCCGATAGAAGCCTAAAATTACACCCACGTGAAAAGAAGATTATTGATTTTAGAGAAAAGTTATATCTCGCACCTCTTACCACTGTTGGCAATCTTCCTTTTAGAAGGGTTTGCAAAGTTTTAGGGGCTGACGTGACATGTGGTGAAATGGCAATGTGTACGAATCTTTTGCAGGTTTGTATTCTGTTTCTTCTGGCTTAAACATCAGATCAATTATTTGAACTACGGTCACTTCTGGTTGGAACCATTGTTGTTTGCAGTCTGTGTTACAACAGATCGTTATATTGGTTGCTAATGTGTATATTACAAGTTAAAATTAGGAAAAGTTTTCCACTTTCGACAACACAGTAAGATTCTGGTGTTTTGTTTCATCTTAAAAATGGAACTTCCCAAAGGAGATATTTTGTTCTTCTTCAAGTTCTTTCTATCTGTGCTTTTTTTTAGTTGTATTTTTGGCTATTTGGACTTTGTTTAACATTTATGTGAAATTTCATACGGTAACAGGGCCAAGCATCAGAATGGGCACTGCTGAGACGCCATACATCTGAGGATTTGTTTGGTGTACAAATATGTGGAGCATTTCCAGACACTGTGGCTCGTGCTGTTGAGCTTATAGATCAGGAATGTTCCGTGGACTTTATTGATATAAATATGGGGTGCCCAATTGATATTGTGGTTAACAAGGGTGCTGGATCTGCTCTTCTTATGAAGCCCATGCGATTGAAAGGGGTCGTAGAAGCAGCTTCTGGCACGGTGGAAAAACCTATAACCATTAAGGTACTAATATTTTTGTTCTTGACAGACCCTAGGAGAAGAGGTGCAAATAAACTGATGTCTTGTGTTTGCAATTGACAGATATTTCTTGTAATACTATCTCCACTTTTTCCTTGATTTTTCTGTGGTTGCAAAAAATTACAATATGTTCTGCTTGATTCACACGGTTAGAAAGGCTATGAAATTGCTGCCTTGTGTTCCTTTTTTGTTTCGGATATTGTTTTATTAATTTTATTTTATTTCTTAATTTTGGACATATATTCATGTAGTTGACTTTTTTTCCCCTCTTTCCCTTGCTGTACTAGGTGCGGACTGCCTATTTTGAAGGGAAAAATCGCATTGATTCACTTATTGCAGACATTGGCAACTGGGGAGCCAGTGCAGTAACAATACATGGTCGATCGAGACAGCAACGTTATAGCAAGCTTGCGGATTGGGAATACATATACCAGTGTGCCATAAAAGCCCCTGATCCTTTGCAAGTACTGGGAAATGGAGATATTTTTTCGTACTTGGATTGGAACAAGCATAAGGCTGACTGCCCTGAGCTATCTTCCTGCATGATTGCTCGAGGAGCGCTAGTTAAGGTATGTAGTACAGTGGTTTGGCTAGTTACCTAGAACTGCCAATTCATACATATTATTTTAGTTTTCTTTCTCATTTTTTAAAGCTTATTAGGTCCCTATTTTCTTTGCAGCCTTGGATATTTACTGAAATCAAGGAGCAAAGGCACTTGGACATCAGTTCTGGAGAACGATTAGACATTTTGAAGAATTTTGTACGTTTTGGCCTTGAACATTGGGGTTCTGATACTAAAGGTTTGTAATATGGAACGAATAATTTTGACTCCTTGGCCTCAAAGGTCCGGTTCTCATGAAGTTTTTGTCTTATACCTGCAGGTGTTGAGACAACTAGGCGTTTCCTGTTGGAATGGCTTAGCTATACATGTAGATATATACCTGTTGGTCTTCTAGACATCATCCCACAACGACTAAACTGGCGCCCACCGTCCTACTATGGTCGTGACGACCTCGAGACACTAATGGCTTCTGATTCTGCTGCTGATTGGGTATGCCATTATCTTATTGTTAACATTCATCAATAATCCCCAATGCTTCTAAAGACGTTAGATTAATGATATTTCTTTCGCCGTTGCAGCTAAGGATCTCGGAAATGTTGCTCGGAAAGGTTCCCGATGGTTTCACTTTTGCACCAAAGCATAAATCCAATGCATATGATACAGCAGAAAATGGCTGATTGCATATTTGATTGGTATGCTAATTATCCGTACGATCCGATGACAGAATTCAGCTGTTGAAAGTTCATTCTTGTCTCTATTTATCTCATCAATACGGGCACATGTGGGTTCATGTAATAAGGAAAAACCGGGCAGGGTTTGTCCCATTAACTCTAATACCATAAAGTTGTATGAGAGATGCCTATTTTTCGGCCGACTATGAACTTTAGAGCGAACTCGTTTAGATTTTATACCAAGTGTGCCTTTTTTACATTGTTTATGATGTTTAATTTTTTCTTCCTCTTGATGCCTTTACGAGCTCCAAGAGCTCTACATTGACTATGTACCCACAGAATTAAATGTTTTTGACTCTTAGCTGTGGAGGAAAGAACCTTATTTTGCCCCTTTGAGACAGTTAATTAGATACAATCTTGTTGCTTGTTGATTATAATACCCCTTTTGATGTGTTGCAAGGATTCAACGCGCATCTACCATGAATTAAATGCGCTGAAAAATCTCTGAAGAGACAATTTGTCTCCTTTGGTGGCATACTTGCAATGTTGTAAGTAAATCAGAATTTAACTGTAATTTGGCGCTGGCAAGGATAGTCACGCGTCTATGGCGCGTGGATTCTATTATGAAACCCAATCAGAGCCATTGATCAACAATTTAAATTGAAAAAGAAAAATAGGTTTGGTAGCAGGCGCAGCCCATTGAAGCTTTCGCTTAATAGTAAAGTCGCTAGAAAAATGATTCCAAATGTGAATGCAAAGACCACCGTCTCTTTTAGAACTATACCATTCTAAAAGAAGAGTTTCCTCTTTTTCCACCTGAACCGTGTTTGTCATTTTCCACTCGAGTACTGCACCAAAAGTCAATAGTATATGTGCTCATGTTAATAACCAACCAAAATAAATACACAACAGGCGACCAAAAAAACATATAATGGTAAAAAAGATTTGGATAATCGGATATAGAACTAAAAGATTTTATACATATAGGACAAAAGCCATGTCGAGGAAACTCAATTAAGCTCATAACCCGCTGTGTACATAAAACAGAAGATGATTCTGAATTCAATTTCATTATCAGGCGCAAAACTGAAAGAGGAAATCATAAGACAGTTTATCCTAGGATTTCACAACCCCAAATCTTTAAGGAATAACTTAAAATTGTAATTTGTAATTTGAAGAAATCAGTCTCTCAACCCATCACATAGTTGATACACCTAAAACAAACAATAATAGCAACTACACCTTAATAACACTATCCTCAGGCTCCTTATCTGTTGCCTCTTTCTGGCTTGTATTTGCCTGAACCCAACCACCATCAATGGATTCCAAACTACCATTCAACCCATCATCCACAAAATCTCCAACCCTTTTCACCTTCAACTCTCTAGGCTCCACAGGGTACTTTCCCGAGAAACAAGCATAACAAAAGTTGGGGGAATCTTCAGCCAAATACTTCTTCAAGCTCTCAAATGGCAAAAAAGCAAGTGAATCCGACCCAATAAACTTCCTAATCTCCTCAACACTCATCCTATTGGAGATCAACTCCTCTGAGCTCGGCGTGTCCACTCCGTAGTAACACGAGGCGATAATCGGAGGACTCGCAATCCTCATGTGTACCTCTTTAGCGCCACTCTCTTTGAGAAGCCTAACTATCTTTGAAGAGGTTGTTCCTCTCACAATTGAGTCATCCACAACCACAACTCTCTTCCCTTTCAGCACTGCTTCCACAGGATGCAATTTCAGCCTCACGCCGAGGTCCCGAATCTTCTGCGACGGCTGAATGAAAGTCCTTCCCACATAATGGGACCTCAACAACCCTTGCTCGAAAGGCACACCCGCTTTTGAAGCATACCCGCGAGCAGCCACGTTACCTGAATCCGGCACGGAGATCACAATATCGCAATCCACCGGAGCCTCCGTGGCCAAAATCTCCCCAAATGCGCGCCTGGAATCATAAACTGACCTCCCGTAGATAACAGAATTGGGCAGAGCAAAGTAAATATGCTCGAAAATGCATTGTTTCGGTTGCGGATGCGCCATTAGGCAAAGTGACTGAACCCCATCTTTGTCGACCACCACAACTTCACCAGGAAACACTTCCCTCTCATAGGTGGCTTCAATCAAATCAAGAGCACAAGTCTCGGAGGCGAAAACGACGGCGCCATTACTTCTCCTCCCCATCACAAGCGGCCGAAAACCGTACGGGTCCCTCACAGCAACAAGCTTATCTTTTGTCACAAACACCATGGAATAAGCCCCTTGAAGCTGCTCACAAGCGTCAACAATCCTCAGCAAAAAAGGCCTGTGCTTTGATATAGCAATAAGGTGAAGAACCACCTCGGTATCGGAAGTTGTATTGAAAATAGAGCCGTTGTCTTCAAGCTTGTTCCTAAGGGCCTTATAATTGACCAAATTCCCATTGTGGGCAACCCCAACGGAGCCGAATCTGTACCCTGCAACAAAAGGCTGGACATTTTTCAGCATAGAGGAGCCGGCAGTGGAGTACCTAACGTGTCCGATAGCGATATCGCCGGGCAATTGATCGAGCTTCGACTCGTTGAAGACCTCGGAGACGAGCCCGACGCCGGTGACGGACTGGAGAACGTCGTTGTGGACGGAGACGATCCCGGCGCCTTCTTGGCCGCGGTGTTGGAGCGCGTGGAGGGCTAGGTAAGAAAGACGGGAGGCTTCCGGGTCGCCGTAGATTCCGACAACGCCACACTCCTCCCGAGGCTTTTCATCATCATCGTCGTGGAGGGAGAGAGTGGGGGAGTTTTGGGCATCTGGGCAGGTCTTGTTTGGGAGAAAGATGTCGGAAATGGGGTTTTTGGATGAGGCGGCGAAGAGGGGTTTCTGGGTGTGGATGAGGGAGGGGAGTTTGGGGTGGGAGAAGGGTTTTGGGAGGGGTTTGGGGGAGGAGAGAGGGAAAGGGGTGGTGGGTTTGGAGAGGGAGGAAGGGGAAGGGGAGGTAGAGAGGGTCGAGAGCTTTGTGGCGGCCATGGAGAAGTTTAGTTCAGAGAGAGAAAGGAGGAGGAGAGAGAGAGTGAGCAGCCAAGGAGAGGCCGAGAGGTGGGGGGAAAAGAATGCCTGGAATTGGAGTTCTAACTAAAGTTTTAGGTTTTTGGAGGAGAAAGGGATCTGGGAAGTGATAGAGTTACCCCACGGTGAGATGGCTGTTCGCAAGCAAAAGATTCTTATTGGATTCTAAGGTGAGGCTTTTAAAGGTTCACCACCGCCATAACAAGTGCAACTTGCAACAATTTTTATTTATTTTTTGGCCCGAAAAGACAAGTGAGAACTAGGATGAGTATTTTACCGCGGTTAGAGTTGCAAGTTTAAATTAGACTAAATAGGCTGATAATAAATTTATTATTGTTAACTTGAATTTGACTCGGTCCTAAAATTTTTAAGTTTAGGATCGAGCTGGGTTGACCGACCCGAGTTAAAATTTCTTTTTAGGCTACAAGGTTGACGGCATAAACTTACATCTCTACTCGCAAAATTTGTGAATACCCACCCTGAATAAGGCATCTATGAAGTTTAGTAAATAGAGATGGGACGGGTACAAGAATTTATATTATCCTCAAAATGGGTGGGATGGGGACAGTGGAAGTATCCCCACCCGTCCCTGCCCTCGATATACATATACATATATATTTTTTTAGAAACTATTTGTAATACACATATGTTATATATTATAATAGTATTTGAAAAATATAAGATAAAAAAATTTTAAAAGTATTTTATTATTGTACCACCTTAAAAAGCCCTAATGAGTTTTAAATTCTTATTATATGACTTAAATTTAATCTATACGGCCTATGTCTCTACTATTGAGATCTTTAAGAGATAAAAAAAAATAGAATAATATCGTTCTTTTATCATTTTTAATGTTTTACTTTGAAGACTCTAATTTATTATTTACGTCTGAAATTGAATTTTTAGAATTTGGTTTCATATAATTTTGAGATTTGATTAGTTACTTTTAGAGTTTGGATTTTCTTTTAAAACTTTAGTATGTTTTCATAAGATATTAATGTCATGTTGAATTTCATATTTTAATTTGACAGAGTTTTCTTTTTTTCAAATGGTAAATTCTTGTTTTAAATATGTATGCCAATAGTATGTGTCTAACTTTCTATATATATATATATATGTGTGTGTGTGTGTGTGTGTGTGTGTGTGTGTGTGTGTGTCTTTAAATTTCAAATGCCTCAAAATCAAGTCAACCTTCATAGTTTAGTTTATTTCCGTGTTTAACAGAAATTTTGACAGAATGGGCTAAATGGGAACAAAACTCAATTTTTTTTTAAAAAAAAACTCTGTTTTATGAACAAAACTCAATTTATTCATTAGACTTACACATAATATTGTCGATATTGAATATCCACATTTCTTGTAATATAAAAATGCAGCTTTAGTCAAAAATAAAATTGTTGTTTTATAGGTAACGTATGAAAATAATTACAACTTGATAACACAAAATAATATTAAACTTTTTCCTCAAAACAAAATAAACATTTAACTTTTACATCGAGTGAGAATAATCATTTTTAGGGTTTTGCACGGTCTGATCCGATCTTAAATGTTAAGATTTTCAAATCGGACGGCTTTGACAGATTGAAAAAATTACAAACTAGACCAAACCATTAATGACAATAGAACCAAACCATTTTAATACGGTTTGGTCTGATTTAACCACAGTTTTGACCATTTCTTAAATGATTTTTTTTTTTAGTTTTTAGTTATTATGTTTCATATTTATTAAAGTCTAAGTAAAAGTTAACACAACAATTAAATAAAATCGTATACTACAATTAATTCATTTCAAAAACCGTTTGGTCCGATTTTAGGCCTGGCAAACGGTTATAATGTGGAACTAGACCGGCATCTAGAAATCGCCGTATTAGTCCGGTCCGTTTAGATGAACAAATTTCATTTTTGCTTTAACTAAAAAGCGCTAAGGGTATGTAAAAGGAAAAAAAAAAAAGAGAGTAAATTAGCTAAATGGCCGTTTTTTGACCACTTTTGTTTTAATAAATGGCCTAAATTTTCACTTTTTAAATAAATGGCTACAATTTTTTTATTTTATGAAAATGGATGTGTTACTATAGTAGTCAATTATTGATTGATCTACCATCAATTAACTATTGACTCACATTTAATCAATGAATGACCAATGGTTAATTAATTATTAACGAAATTATTATTAATTTTCTCTATTCTTTATCATTAATAAATTTATAATTTGTTGATTAAAATGATAAATTACTAGTTGGTTTTGGTTAGTTATTAATTGATATTGATTAATAATGAAGAATTATCAAGTTAATAAGTGATAAATTAAAGTCAATTAATGATAGTCTGCTAAGTCATTTAGTGATTGACCGCTAAACATTCATTTATTTTATAGATTTAGAATACTGCTCAAACATCCTTACTACGTGTTTTCTCTCATAAAATTTAAATTTTATTTACACTTTTTTGTTTAAAATTATGAACTAAACAACTCATAAAGCAACTAGAGATTGACTAAGTCAATTCCCGTTAAGTTAATTAAAAAAACAGGCATTTAATGATAAATTACTAGTTGGTTTTGGTTAGTTATTAATTGATATTGATTAATAATGAAGAATTATCAAGTTAATAAGTGATAAATTAAAGTCAATTAATGATAGACTGCTAAGTCATTTAGTGATTAACCGCTAAACATACATTTATTTTATAGATTTAGAATACTGCTCAAACATCTTTACTACGTGTTTTCTCTCATAAAATTTAAATTTTATTTACACCTTTTTGTTTAAAATTATGAACTAAACAACTCATAAAGCAACTAGAGATTGACTAAGTCAATTCCCGTTAAGTTAATTAAAAAAACAGGCATTTAATGATAAATTACTAGTTGGTTTTGGTTAGTTATTAATTGATATTGATTAATAATGAAGAATTATCAAGTTAATAAGTGATAAATTAAAATTAATTAATGATAGACTGCTAAGTTATTTAGTGATTAACCGCTAAACATACATTTATTTTATAGATTTAGGGTACTGCTCAAACATCTTTACTACGTGTTTTTTCTCATAAAATTTAAATTTTATTTACACTTTCTTGTTTAAAATTATGAACTAAACAACTCATAAAGCAACTAGAGATTGACTAAGTCCATTCCCGTTAAGTTAATTAAAAAAAACGGCCATTTAATTAATTTGTAACCTGCCATTTATGAAGAAAAAAAAAAAAAAACCTCTAAAGAAAAGGGTTATTTTGGCTCTATATCCCAAAAAAAGGAGTTGAATAATGAATAACGTATTAATCTTCTCATAGTACGGAATTAATCACAGAAAACATCTATAATCTAATGATTTTCATAACGTATTACTTTTTAAATTTACTTCATAATATCTTTTATTTACATAAACGTCTTTTTAGACAAATTTATTTCCATGACGTATTTTCCCCTTGAAATATGTAATTGTCACTTGTTTCATCTTTTTTTTTTCCCTTGCGCTGTTGATTTATAAAAGTGAATAATGGTTTGTTTAGCTTAGCGTATAGATTTGAATAAAAAAATTTAAATAAAAATTTAAATTTTATGAGAGAAAATACTATAATAAAAATGTTTAAACAATAGTTTAAACTTAGGTAAGAGTTTTATGGAGATAGAAAAATCCTGGGAAAGAGAAATAAAATAGAAACGTTTTCATCTGCCTCTTAAATTTATGGGGAGTGACTATTGTACCGACTCTACACTCCATTTACGGTATCGATTACGACTGTTTTCTAAGTACTTAGATTGTAAATGAATGGTCCCAGATTGTATTCCATAGAAGCAAAAAATAGACCTAATAAATTGGATGACAATTTTTTAATTTAATTAATAACTACAAAAACATGTGCGCTTGGAACTCATTCCAAAATGATTTTATTTTCTGTAGGAAAATGAAAACGAAAACGTTTTCATTTTCATTTTGAAATCATTTTTAAAAATGCGTTTGGTAGTTTTATTTCGAGATTGTTTTCAATTTAAAAAAAAAACTGAAATTGTGTTTGGGGGGGGCGATGAAATCCTCGTAGCGGATCTTTCCGTTGGCGCCGACATCGACCTCGCGGATCCACTCGTCGAACTCGGCCGGCTCGAGCTTCTCGTTGATGCTGGTGAGGATGTGGCGGAGTTCGGCGACGGAGACGAATCCCGTGGCGTCCTTGTCGAGGACCTTGAAGGCGTCGCGGAGCTGGCGATCGAACGGCTCCGGCTTCATGTGCTTGGCCATCAGGTCTAGGAATCATAGGAAATCGAACGGTGCCGAGTGATTCTCCTCGGCGATGATGGATTTGAGTTGCGCCTGGGTAGGGTTCCCGCCGAGGGATCTCATAAGGATCCCAAGCTCCGACGGCGCGATCCAGCCGTCGCCGTCGGTGTCGAAGAGCGTGAAGACCTCCTTCATGGAAGAAACTTGGTTGTCGCTCTGATCCTTGGCCACTGCCCGATGGAGACCTCTCCCTCACCCACTTCGCCCTCTCCCTCCTCCGCTCCTCCGCCACTGCCGCTGACGACCCATCCTTCTTCTCCACCACATCCGTCCTCATCGACTGCTCCACCGCCCGATGGAGACCGAGGATGAGGGAGACCGGGGGGAGTAGAGGAAAGAAAGTTAAAATGAAAATGGAAAAACTAACCGAAGGAGAAGAGATTGACACCGAAGAAAATGAAAACGAGAAAATGAAAACGAATCTCAATCGTTTTCATAATTTTTGCATTTTTGGGAAAGGGTCAGAAAACGTTTTCATTTTTAGTTTTTATAGGATAATGCGCCAAACACGTTCTCAACCCATTTTCATTTTTTGGTCCTTGAAAAATGTAAAAAACATTTTTGAAAACGAAAACAAACACGCACAAAAAGTACTTAAAAAATAAACAACAACAACAACTCCAGCAGCCATCGTTGGAAGCATTGCATGCTGGCACCCACGCGGTGGCGGTCGGCCCCCACCCCTCCGCCTCTATGTCTCGGGACCTCCTTCACGATGAAATTGCGAGCCCATTACTTTGACGGCGACGAGAAAAGTGCTATAAATTAAGTACTCCATGACTTTTCATGGAAAATTCAACAGTAATTCAGTTATTTAATAAAATTTATAGTTTTTAGCTAAAAGGCTTGTTACTGTTTC